GACAGGTGAAGAATCATGAGAAAAATTATCCAAATCATGACTTAGAATTGGCTGCAATAGTGTTTGCTTTGAAGATATGGCATCAGTATTTGTTTGGTGCTCATGTGGATATATTCACTTATCATAAGAGCCTCCAGTATGGTGTTCACTTAGAAAGAGATCAATCTTAGATAGAGGGGGTGGTTGGAATTACTCAAAGATTATGACATTAGTATTCATTACCACTCATGTAAGGCAAATGTGGATGTTGATGCCTTACCCCATGTCAAGGAAGAAAAAATGTAGTTGGCAAAAGATGTGCACAGACTTGCAATTTTGGGAGTCAGCTTATGGATTCCAACGAAGGAGGCATAATGGTGATTAATGGGGCTGAATCATTATAAGTGTCATAGGTGAAAGAGAAGAAAGATCAAGACCCTATTTTCCTTGATTTGAAGGCAAGTGTCCATAACCAAAGAGTATTGGATTTTGAGCAATGTGGAGATGGTGTGTTGAAGTATCAAGGTAGATTATGTATACCTAAAGTAGATGGACTCCAAGAGACAGTCATGGAGGAGACTCATTGGTACAGATATTCAATTCATCTGGGTTCCACCAAAATGTACTGTGATTTGAACGAGGTGTATTGGTGGGAAGACATGAAGAAAGATATTATTCAGTTTGTTGGCAAGTGTTCAAATTATCACAAAGTGAAAGTGGAACACCAAAAGCATTAAGGTTTAGCTCAGTATGATTAATATGGACTTCATCACAGGCTTGCCAAGGTTTCGAAGGCAACATAATTCCATTTGGGTGATTAGCAATAAAATGACAAAGTCAACTTATTTCTTGCCGGTAAATACTACCTATTTGGCCGAAGATTATCCTAAGTTGTACCTTCAAGAAGTGGTAAGACTTCATGGAGTTCCAGTATCCATTATTTTAGATAGAGGTGCACAACTTACTATGCAATTCTGGAAATCTTTCCAGAAAGGTTTGGGTTCATAGGTGAACTTGAGTAATGCTTTTCATTCTCAAACAAATGGAAAAGCAGAGCGTACTATCCAAACCTTATAAGATGTGTTGAGAGATCGTGTGATCGACTTTAAGGGATATTGGGATGATCACTTACCTTTCATTGAGTTCGCGTATAACAATAGTTATCATTCGAGTATCCAAATGGTTCCATATGAAGCTCTTTATAGGAGAAGATGCAGATCTCCTATTGAGTGGTTCAAAGTTGGTGAAGAAGGGTTGATAGGACAAGATATAGTTCACCAAGCTATGGAGAAGGTAAATGTAATTCAAGAAAGTTTGAAGACGACACAGAGTCGCCAAAAGTCCTACACAAATGTTAGGATAAGACCATTAGAGTTTGAGGTAGATGATTGGTTGTATCTTAAGGTTTAACCTATGAATGGAGTTATGATTTTTGGTAAGAAGGGGAAACTTACACCCCGATATATTAGTCCTTACAGAATCTCCAAGAGAGTGGGTAATGTAACTTATGAGCTGGAGATACCCCAAGAGTTTGAAGCAGTTCATGTTGTATTCCATATTTCTAAGCAGTTCATCTTGAATTCCATATTTCTATGTTGAAGAAGAGCTTGTGTGACCCTTCATTTATAGTAACAACAGAGAATGTTGAAATTAAGGACAACATATCTTATGAAGAAATTCCAGTTCAGATTTTGAATCATCAAGTTCGCAAATTCAAGACAAAGGAAATTGCTTTAGTCAAGGTCCTTTGGCCAATTCATTAAAGAAGTTATTTAGGAAGCTGATACGGATATGAAGAAGAGATATGCACATCTCTTTGAATTTGGAGAGAATGTAGATCAAGGTACTAAATTCTCTTCTTATCTCTTTCTAAGGATATGTATAAGCAAGTTATTACTTGCTTTTGTTTGTTGAGTGCTGAAATGATGTTACCCTTAGCTTAGTGAAAAAATTCTCATTCGAGGACGAGTGTTCCCAAGGGTGAGATATTGTAACATCTCGTAACCAAAATTAACTAAGAATAAGCTAAGAAACCAAGAATAATTAGTTTTGAAAATAAGTAAGGAAATCGAGAAAACTTCCAGATTTTAAAAGTGATTTTTTGGTAATTTTCAAATGATCATAACTTCCATCTCAAGAGAAGTTTGGATGATTTCTTTATATTTATGGAAATCTCTTGGGAAGATCTTTCCAACGAAGCCACGTTGCTAAATTCCAAGGTCATATAAGGAATATATGACCTTTGGAAGTTGAACTGTTAGACAAGGGAAAGTCCAAATTCAAATTTGTTAAGGGTATTTTGGTCTTTTCCTAAATAAATTATTAATTACGTTTTTGGGGTAATAAGTTTGATACCTAAACTGATCCCAATCAGTTTACACATTTAGAAAATAAGTTAGGGCTTTGAAAGAAAGGAAAAAAGAGGAGAAGGAAGTAGAAGACGCAAGAAGGCCAAGAATTCGTTGCATGGATTTCATCGGGGGTGATCCCTATCAGGTATGTGAGATATGTTGTTGTGTTGGGTTACTACACCTACACACCAATTTACTAAATTCAGCAAATTTATGGGTTATCTCAAGTTAGAAGTCAAGATCTTGAAGGAAAGTTTTGTTTTCTTATTGATTGGATTGTTCGCTGCCATTGTTGGTGACATTCTTGTTTTTTTGAGGTATTTTGAGCGGAATTTAGTAAATTTTGATAGTACTAAGGGTTCCCAGCATTTAGTGAAAGAACTAGGAAGTTTTGGAGATCTGAAGCTGCAAAAACGAGTTGAAAAAGTCGTCACACACACCTCGGTAGGGGTGGGAAAGGCGCACCTACAGTACACTAAAAATGTCCTCAGTGAAGCAAGGACTGGCGAAGCGCGCCAGCATTACGCCCAACCTAGTGTTTTTCATTCAGTTTTTGTAGTTTAGCCTTTTTAAGTCTTTCAAAGGCACATTACCATCTTTCAGTGATTCTAATCACTTCAAATGATTTCTAAACACCTAGAAATTATCCAAGAACTCAAATCATGAACCTTGAATCCATAATTCAAATTTAAGGGAAGTTAGAATCAAAGTCAAGAAAGTAAGAAGTCAAGTTTAAAGTTATGAAGTGAGTAAAAGGAAAGGTTATAAATTTCTCAGTGTCTTACTTAAATGTTTAACTTCGTTTTAAGGCTCAATTTCAATTTAAGGAAAAGAGTAAAAGGTGAGTTCTTTTGTCAAAAAGGTATAAGGAAACTAAGTATTCCCTATAAGTTAAAGGTTCAAGTTAAGTAAAGATCAATAGTTGAGTTCACTTCTCTAAAGTTATGAAGGGGACTAAGTACTCCTCAAAGGTTGTGAAATGTTTCACATTTAAGTTAAAAAGGAAACTAAGATGTTTCAAAGAGTTTTGAACTAAAAGAGGGGAACATTGTTTCCAAAAGGAGTTTTTTAAAGCTAAAGGGTTCACTAAATTATCTCAACCCATAGGAATGAAGTTTTATTTAAAACTATGAGCTAAAGTATGTTTTGGGAGTAGTATTGAGCACCGATGTGAGTATGAGAATTCAGATAACTCAAGTCCCCATGTAAGCCGTGTACCATCATGGGTATTAAGGTATCATACTTTTTAGATAATCACGTAAGGTTAGCTAGTGGATCCACTAGGTAGAGGATGTTCTATGCGATGACAAAGTATAGGACAGTTTTGGTAGCGTGGGCAAGACATAGTATCACCACTTAGGCTCATAGTGGTGGTTGGCGGTTAGAGAAACTTCCACAAAAACTTTCATATGTAAGTAAAGTTGAGTTTACTATTTTTATATCTTTAATGAACCAAGAGTTGCACAGTTTTATCAGTTTTATATTTATATATTGCATATTTTCGTAATGCTTTACATTGAGTCGTTATATTATGACTTGAGCAGAGCAAAGGTAAGTTCCTCCTTACTTAATTTCAAGATTTATAATTGTACTTAGCATTCCAACTCGTATACTTGTACATTCAATGTACTGATGTCAGTTAGTCTATATCATTTTATGATGCAGACAGAGGTAAACAGGATCAGCACGCGGTGCTTCGTTGATCCAGATGCCGGTAACCAGGATGAAGTAAATTGAAATTAATCACAATTTCAATATTATTCATGATTTTAATTGTATAAAAAAATATCATTTCGCTATCTTAAATAATGATTTTGAAAAACGTACACATAAGGCTCGATAAGCTCAACATTGAACACCAATATAAGCACATCACTCAACTTAAACATGTTTCAATTTCTATCGCTAAAGAAGCCACTAAAAATAGATTTAGAATTTTTGCTAATAAGAAATTTTATCCTATTTCAAGTTTACCTCTAAAGCAACATTTTCTGATAATGATGAGAGTAATCTCCCACAATATCTGTTGGCAGGTCAACTATCAATACATATATCAAACTTAATTAATAAAAATATATGGTATATTGTGTTGTGCGAAGAGATAGGAAAAATATCAGCTTAATTTTATGTGAATTTGGACGGCAACTTATGAACATAGAAAATGTATTTTTATTAATTAACTTAGTCATTTATTGAGTACTAAATATGTCATCCTTTTCATACTAGAAAATATAAAATTAGGTACATAATTTTTTTCAGTAATCCCTGGTTAATCGATAACAAAATAGTTTTTAGCTAGTCTTGTAAAAACTCTGATAGAATTAATTCCATATATGAATTTACAAAGCAAGTACTTGATAATGCAGAAACAGAAAGTAGATGACAATTAATATCTGGAGTACTCCAAAAATCATGAATTACTTCAATAAAGTACAAAGTTTTGGTTTAGTAACTAATTTTGTCACGACCCGCTATGTCATTTTGAGCACTAGACGTTCGGTTTTCGTAATAGAGTCCTTCCTTAAAATATTAAATCGAAATTTTGAATAATTCGTTTAACTATGGTTATTAATCAACATTAATTCGTTAAATGGTTAATTTATTGATATATAGTAAATGGGCAAAATCTGAAAATCATTTAAAACCCTTATTTGGCCCAGGTATAAAATTAAATTAACTAAAAATTTTATTCTTATTTTCTTCTTTGCTTCTAACGCAAATCCATTGCGGCTGATATTTTCGAAGAAAAGTCGATCTCAACATTGACAACAATTAAACAAAAAATTCTTCAGGTAAAGTGGTTCAACTTTTTGTCTTACTAGAATAAATCCTAATTAGTAGATATACTTTAATTTACTATTATTTTAAAGGAAAAACTTGTTGGGTGTTGTTGGAAATTGTCGGTTCTATGAAAATTCTTTAGAATTACACTTAATATTGACTTATTATTGAGTAGAGATTCTATATTATTATTATTTTTGGTTAATAAGTTGATTTATACATTTAATATAGTAATATAAATTCATAATCTAGAGGAGTTCAATTGTTTGACCAACCACGATATTAATTTTGGTGAATTAGTTTGGTTTGCATTTATATTTTGGCCATTATATCAAATTCAACTTTTCAAGAGATCTTTGAGATGCTATATTATATATATATATATATATATATATATATATATATATATATATATATATATATATATATATATATATATATATATATATATATATATATATATATATATATATATATA